AAAGTGGGGCCGTTCCCTTACACTTGAACCCATCGCGATTGTTGGTGCAGCTTGTCGTCTCGCTGGTGAGGCATCATCGTTGCATGGCCTTTGGGATATGATGCAAAACTCCCGAACTGCCCACGCCAAGGTGCCCGAAGAACGATGGCATGCGGATGCCTGGTACCATCCCGATCCGGACCGTAAAGGCTCTGTAAGTCAAATCAGCACATGTGCTTTTGTTTACATTTGACAGCAGCTTTGCTAACAAAATCTGGTTGATATCAGTTGAATACCACACACGGCTTCTTTCTAGAACAAGATGTAGCGGCGTTTGATGCGCCGTTCTTCTCAGTCACTGCGAAAGAGGCTGCAGGCATGGATCCCGCCAAAAGACTTGTACTAGAAGTTTCATATGAAGCGTTTGAAAATGGTGAGTCCCGAATCTATTATAAACTATATTTGAGGCGTAGAGTACTAATCTGTCCAAAGCCGGTCTGCCAATGGATAAGGTCGCGGGCACTAAAACAGGCGTCTACGTTGGTAGCATGACGAGCGATTACGAACTATTATCCACTCGCGAGATCTATGATGAGCCACACATGGCGGCAGCTGGGAGCAGTGAAGCCATGACAGCAAACAGAGTTTCTTGGTTCTTTGACCTTCGAGGGCCGAGTCTGACCTTGGATACGGCATGTTCATCAAGTCTCTACGCGCTGCACTTGGCTTGCCAGTCTCTTCGGCTTGGAGAAACAAACATGGTTAGTGAGCAAAAGACGGACTTTTAAAGCTGTTGCTAATTTGACTCGTGGCAATAGGCTCTGGTTGCCGGTGTTAGCGTGGTACTTCACCCCAACTTCATGCAACAATTAGTGGCAATGCACATGCTCAGCCCCGACGACATATCTCATACATTCGATGATAGAGCCAACGGTTACGGCCGTGGTGAAGGCCTCGGTGGTCTTGTAATTAAACGACTTGGCGATGCTATTAGAGACGGAGACACCATTCGAGCAGTCATTCGGGGTTCTGGGACAAATGTGGACGGCAAGACACCCAGTGTCACAATGCCTAGTCCAGAGGCACAAGCAGATCTGATTCGTGACGTGTATAGAAAAGCTGGTCTTCCTCTGGATCAAACCCAGTATATTGAGTTACACGGCACCGGGACTCCCGTTGGGGTACGTCATGAGTCTTTCTTTGACCGAAAGGTCTCTAACGATGCGACTTTTTAGGATCCTATAGAGCTTTCCGCAATTGCTGCTACATTTGGCGCCTGCAGAAGCCACGGGAATCCAGTTCATGTAGGCAGCATCAAACCGAATGTTGGCCACACCGAAGGCTGTGCAGGTCTTGCTGGTGTGTTCAAGGCAATCATGTGTCTTGAGAAAGGTGTCCTCCTGCCGACTGCAGAAGTTGGGAAAATTAACCCCAAGCTGAGATTCGCTGATTGGAATATCGTATTACCGGCGCAAACTATGGCATGGCCGACACATGGACCCCGTCGGGTGAGCGTAAACTCGTTTGGTTTTGGCGGTGCTAACGCGCATATCATTCTCGACGATGCTCATCACTACATGAAAGCTAAAGGCCTGAATGGGGAGCACTCAACGCTGCATAACACAAAGTATCTCGAATCGAATCCTGCCAGCAAGAGCGACATCACAAACAGTCCTACAGACAAAATTATGAATGGTGATGAAAACGGCATCGACGTGACAAAGAAGCCGAAGAAGAAGAAGAAGAAGAAGCTCTTTATCATGAGCTCACGCGACGAGCCCGGAATCCAGCGACTGGGCAAATCGCTTGGATCGTACTGGAAATCTGACAAAGCCATCAACGACGTTACGAATGCAGCAACATACCTTTCAGATGTAGCATATACGCTTGCAACTCGACGGTCTTTATTTGATTATAGATCTTTCGTAGTTGCTGAATCAACGGAAGAGCTTGTGCAAGGTTTGGAGGGACCATTGCCCCGGTTCAAGCGCTCAACCAAGCAGAATCGAGTCGCGTTCGTATTCACTGGACAAGGTGCTCAGTGGGCGGGCATGGGACGACAGTTGATCGAATTTCCCACTTTTGCGGCGAGCGTCGCGAGAAGCAAAGCTTGTCTGGAGTCATTGCGCTGCCCCTTCGATGTGGAAACTGAGATACAACAGACAGAGGGAAGCAAGATTGAGAGCTCAGAATACAGTCAGCCGATATGCACCGTCGTTCAAATCGCCTTGGTCGATTTGCTCCGCGAGTGGGATATTAGACCGAAGGCCGTCGTTGGACATTCGAGCGGTGAAATTGCTAAGTGCTGAAATGTCAGAGTTCTACGCTGTGTAAGAGCCTAATATTATTATAACTTGATAGCTGCTGCATATGCAGCCGAAATACTGTCTCACGAGGACGCTGTCAAGGTCGCTTTTATCCGAGGCGTCTACTCAGGCATGGTCTCTCGAGGTCCCAAAGCCGGCGCCATGTTGGCGGCTGGCATATCGGAGGAAGAAGCCGAAGCATACTTGGCTACCATGCCCTCTGAAACTGTTGTTACGGCTTGTGTCAATAGCCCGAAGAGCGTTACGCTCTCGGGAGACGCCGAATTTGTTGATATTCTTGAGCAGAGCATCGCCAAAGATGGTAATTTCGCACGAAAGCTTCGCGTTGTGCCGGCATACCACTCTCCTCATATGCGAATGGTTGCAGATGATTGTCTGCGCGCCATGGTTGAGGCTGGTGTTGGAGGCGCGAACCAGGAAGCAAAGATTCCCATGTTCTATTCATTGATCCCATTGAGGTTGGCAAGTCGTATTGGATCAGAAACATGTGCGGCACAGTACGATTTTCGGAAGCCGTCTCCAGTCAACCTTCTCGTTGGGTCGTCAGGGCGCCGTGCTGGACGCAAAGCAACCGTAAAGTGGGATGCACTCCTTGAAGTTGGGCCTCACGCTGCTTTAAAGGCCCCGTTGGTGCAGATAATGGAAAGCATCGACGCAAAGCTGCCTTCAGAGCTTCTTTATACTTCTTTGCTGGTTCGAAAAGAAGATGCTGTCACGACTGCTCTCAAGGCAGTGGGAAGCCTGTGGGCCACTGGCATTCCAATTTTGCTTGCCAAGGTCAATCGGGAACAAGACTTGGTGGAATCTCCTCAAGTTGTGGTTGATCTGCCATCTTATGCTTGGAATCATGAAAGAGTGTACTGGCACGAGACACCAGCAACGAAGGTCTCGCCAAGTACAACCCACGCCGCCTTTGTCAGGCACAGCGCTTGAACTCGCAACGCTTCAATGTTTACTCCTTCACGTCATGCCCTTCCCTGAAACAACAGAGGTCTAATCGCTGTGAATATGAATGGTTTCGACGAGATAGCCGAAAAAGCGGGCGATGCCCAATGGGACAAGTGGAAGGATAAAATTCTTGGAGCTCATTCTGAAGTTGCATTCTTCGTTGCCTGTCGACTAGACCGTGATGACGGGGAGGTTATTGACTGGTTCGAGGGCTCTTTTAATTTCTGCCTCCGAGTCATGTTTAACGATGCAGGCGCGGACGCCGTTATTCGATTCCCCGGACCTGGACACACAACCTTTAGGGACGAAAAGGTTACCAATGAGGTTCAAATCATCAAGTTCCTCCATGAACATACACGAATATCCCTGTACCACGGTTATTAAGTTGGGGCTTAACCAAGGACAGCCTGTACCACTTTAGACCGTTTATCATCTCAGAGTTTATCAAGGGAGTTCATTTATGTGATATTCTTAAAGACCCGGCTGTTCCTGCAAAGATCTATCTCAATCCAAACATTGATAGCACAATACTGGATGCCGTATTTGAGCAAATTACCAACATCCTACTCCAGCTGTTTCAATTCGACTTTTCTCGTATTAGAGCAGTCTCCAAGGACCCAAGTTTGGACACGTGGTCCGTCACTAGACGGCCCCTCACCTACAGCATGAACGAATTGGCAACAACAGCATTCTATCCTCTGGATGAGTTGGCCACTGGTCCATTCGAATCTGCAAGTGGCTACTTCACGCACCTCTCTGACGAAAATTTAACTCATCTCTTCACCCAGCGTAACCTCTCGTCCACCGCGACTGAAGCTGAGGAGCAATACGTTGCACGTCATCTATTTGCGCGCCTAGTTGACAAGCACTGCATTCACGATAATGGCACCTTTAAACTGTTTTGTGACGACCTTCGGCCCTAGAATATACTTGTGGATCCGAAATCTCTCCGCATAACGGCCGTCCTCAACCTCGAATTTACAAATGCCATGCCAAGCCAGTTCGCATCGGACCCGCCGTGGTGATTGCTACTGGTCGGACCAGATTCGTACCTTTTTCGGCGTCACAGCATGGACGAGTTTCTGTCAGCTTGGAACAGTTTCTACAAGTCATGAAACGGGTTGAGAGGTCCAGAGGAATGCTGTGCACTGAGAACTCTCTTTCTAGTCTTATGCACGACTCGTGGGTTACGAAACGCTTTTTGGTTCAACTACGCGGCGAGGAAACCTTTTGATGTTGATAAGCTCTTTGCTGATTGTTTAAATGAGAACGGTGAAGGCGCCGAGGCGCTGGATGAGGATGCTCGTGCAGCACTTGCTCCATTGTCAAGATGCAGATGGAGCAGTTGAGGGCATATGACGAGGATTGCAAAATGTTGCTAGCACACTCAGTATACTATTTTAGGGGCAGGCAAAGCGGGCGAGATCCTGCTCATAATTACATTAAGCCTCCGGGGGTCGCCTGTGGCGAGCTTTGGGTTGCGGCCGGCTTTTGATATTAAAAACACTAAATTACAAGGTTCGTGATGCTATAGTTGCCAAAGAGTATTTTTCTGTTAACCAATTAAAGCCGAGGGGACGCCCGTATTATACATCATATTAAAGATGTAAAGCGGGACATGGAAGCTGCACACAGCTTATTACTTGTCAATATGCCGTTTCACTCTACTCGGCCACTAATTTCATCCCGCTTTGCCTACGATTCCCATATAAGACGACATGCATAAGACGGCTAACAAGCAGGGCGGCCTGGCTCACTCTTGGCCGAATCCGCTCTCTTTTAATTTTATTGACGTCATGGTAACGAAACATGCAATTCTCACAATCAATGCATTATCTAACGGGCCGTATAAGACCAGCATTATCCACCTGTACTACCGTTGACATGCTCCCAGATGGGACCCTCGGTATCTTGGGTCACTGCTCTGGCGTCAAGAGCATATTATTCATCAACAGCCCTATATAGGCGCTCGAGCGCGACAATATTGAATTCCCGTAGCTGTAGTCATGTCGACTGACTCGGCTGGCCCGCCGAACCAGCCAAGACTTTGCAAGCGCAGGCCACGTTGACCAGCTTCCATATTCGGCTCAGCGCAACCTTGCTACCGTCCAGTCACCACATCAGACACTGCTATCAACTGATGAGCCCCGGTACAGACTATCAGGGTAGCCTGTTAATGCCACCGAGCAGGGCGCGAGCTAGCCAGTTCCCGGGTGTACACGGAGGCTTTGTTCCGGCCTCACCAGCATCAAATTTGTAAGCCTCCCCCGGTAGACATGCCGACGGCGAATGACGTCGTGGAGCCAACGCCGATAGCTCGGGAGACTGCCGGGATCTTGGGATGAAACGCCCTTTGACAGGGCCCACTGGGCGCCACGAAATCTGAGGGAATAAGGTCTGGTGTAGCCAGTGGGCTCGGGAGTGCCGCCAACGTGGCTAGTAGGAATGGGATTTGTGTTGCCATCACGCTTGTTCATGGGCGCCGTAACGAGCGGCATGGCAGAGGGAGCAAATCGAGCCGGGTGCAACGTAGCGTGCAGCCCGCTCCTGACGCGCCAAGCATCGGGCTTTTACTTAAGCTCAAACCTAGATGTCGATTGAGTTTGAAGCAAGGGGCCCGGGATAATAATCTATCAATGGCATATAAACGGGTCCACAAGGGTTCACCCATGAAACAACCCCGGCAGAGCATAAACATTGAAGACACTATAGACTATAGACTATAGACTATAGAGAATCGTGTAAAGCCGACATGAGCAGGTTACAAGACGGCGATAAAAGTACGTATATAACATACAAAATACCAGTTCGGCTCGTAGAGAATCATCTGCAACCGCCAACCATTATTGCTCATCATTCATCCTATAAATCACCGTCTCTCCATCGCAAGTCCACGGTATTGATTTTCACGCTCTTGCAAAGCAGCGACACCCATCCACAGATTCATCATTCTTCTTGCAAAAACAATGCGCCACTCGTACGCCCCTCTCCTCCTTCTCGCTGGCCAGTCTCTCGCGGCGCCCGTAGACAACGCCAATGAGACTCCAGCCGGCGTCCTACACCTGCCTCTGGTCCCCGTCACCCCTGATCCACAGGACGCCGACCTGTCAAAGCGCCAGGCCCAAGCCGACCTGGAAGTGTACCGCTTCCTCGGCCGCCGGCCGGTAGTAGGCTTCGGCATGCCTCTCGAGCTGGGCACGCCGGCGCAGACGGTCATTGTAGAACCAGACACGGGCTCCGACCTGTTCTGGGTGCCGCAGGTGCGCGCCGGCAAGGTAAGAGATGAGCCGGCATCCGTCTACTTCGACAAGGACCGCAGCACCAGCCGGCGCGAGCTCAATAAGGAATACGGCTCGCAATACGGCCAGAACGAATTCGTTCTCTGGAACGTGAGTGCCGACGTGGTATCCATAAAAGGTACGTTATTATATATCCAATACCCAAAGGAAAGAAAATCAGAGCCCAACACATTAGTGTATACTAGGTCGTTCGCTGGGCGAGCTGCAGTTTGGTGTTGCCAACCTCGAGAAATGGCCTACCCGCGTAGGGCGCAACGTCGGCATCCTCGGCCTGAGGGCGCCCGGGCCCAAGAACTCGTACGCCAACGAGTTCATCCTCAAGAAGATGCTGGATAACAAGGTGATTTCCGACGCGGCCTTTAGCATGAGTGTGGATGGGAATGGCAAGGGCGCCATCACCTTTGGCGGCTACGACACCAAAAAGTTTGCCGGCCCGCTTGAAACGTTCCCATTTGCGTCTCAGACATCAAACCAGTAAGTGACGAGGGAAAACTCGTATAAATCCCTCACAGCTGTGCCTCGGGGAGACTAACCATCCGTACGTACGTGGCAGCTACGTCGTCAACATGAAGTCCATCTCGGTGTCTGACGGCACCGACGCCGACCAAGTCATCCAGGGCCAAGGCCTGACCATCGGACTCGACTCGGGGTCTCCGGCGGTGGCGCTGAAAAAGGCCCTCTACGACCAGGTCGTGGCGGCGCTGGGAGCCACGGTCCCCCAGGGCAGCAGCGTCCCCGTCGTCAACTGCACCTTGATGCGGGATGCTCGCCTCACGCTGGCCATGAGCGACACGTTGTCCATCACGATTCCCGTCAAGGACTTTGAGATGAATATTCCGCAGCTGAAGACGGGAGGCAACTGCCCGGTGGCCATTATTTCGGGAAACTACCCTGCTGGTAAGGAGAGCCGTTGGAGAACCCCCCCCCCTGTGGAACCTTGTACGTGGACTAATTTGGGCGATTTGGGCAAGATGTTTGGATCGGCGGTCATTTCCTGCGCAGGGCCTATGTCGTGTACGACTCGGCACGCAGGAACATCCACGTGGCGCGGGTTGGCAACTGCGGCTCCAACGTGGTGGCTATCAGCGGCGGCCTTCCGACCGGGCTTGTTGGCGAGTGCTCCGAACAGCCGCTCGGCCCGATCCCCGCTCCGGATGCGCCCGGCGACCATTAAGTCGCCTCCGTACGGGGTACTCCGTACTTGGTCTACAGGTGTACTTGTTGAAGAAAAAAAATGCGGCAAGGGCGGAATTGTGCGCGAGACATGGCAATGGCACCAAGAATCCAGTAGCTAGGTAGCTTGTCATGGAAATAGATCAAGTCAGTGGTGACGGGTATCATATCCAGACTGTGTTTATTGTTGCATGTGTCGACGGTTGATGAATAGGGTGTGGATGCTGTTGCTACTCCGTACATGCCAACTAGTACGCCGTATGTGCAGCCAATGCCAGTTGCGCGGGTCCACCAAAAAATGCTGCGTCCTTGATTTTGATAAAATTATGTCGATGCATAACTATTATATCGTCGTAATGCGGGTAAATCTGGTGCACAATGCAGACATTCGCTCTACTGTTTGCTGATTGGCCTGCACCTTGGCCCGTCACTTGACAATTCAATGGGGGCCTCCAATTGGCCCAAGGCGCAGTATCAAGCCAGGACAAGCTCATTAATGTCACTTTATTACTAAGAACCGATGAGGCGTCGGCAGGACCCTGCGATCGACACTGCAAGAAAGCCGGCCCGCCATCTGCGCAAGCTCGTGGCCGGACCCCACCATGTCGCCATTTCCTTTTTTTTTTCAACCAAACATTTGGAGATGAGTCGATGTCGGCTCGGAGCCTCAATTGCCCCGCCACCAAAATAAAGGGCCAACTTGTCCGCCGCCGTCCGTCATGACGCGCTTGATTTCCATGACAAATCCGGACCAACTGCCTGCCCTTGCGCAAACTTGTCCTCATGGCTCTTTCTTTGTCCTGATGAGGCGTGAGCGCCTTGTCTGAAGACCGACGTCTGGCATCTGCAACATTGAAGGGTTCTGGTCCCACTTCGGCCTCGACCCGCCGCATCTGATAAACTCTGAGCAGATTTCTCTCTCAACATTTCAACTTTTTGCCGTGCGCCGGAACGCACCCTGCCCCTGCACCACCGCGGCGAGCAGTCAGCTTGCTGGCATTTTTATTTCGTTCTTGTGCAATACCCCACGGTTACTGCTTGCTTTCTCGTTCCCAGAGCCCGCGTCATGCATCCCGCGGCGGAATCCGAGCTGCGAGGCCAAAACGCCGACGGCGTTGCGTTCCGCGCGAAACCGCACCACGTCCATCGAACCTGGGCGAGGACCTTCTCCTCGATCCCCGAGCTCTACATCCAGCCAGAGACCCTCGCCGAGGTGGAAAAGGTTGTTTCTCTCGCCCAGACATGTCGCCGGCGCATCGTCACCACCGGCTGCGGCCACTCGCCCTCCGACATCACCTGCACCTCCAGCTGGATGGTCAACCTCGACCGCTTCAACAAGATCCTTGCCGTCAGCACGGACACGGGCCTGGTGACCATGGAGAGCGGCATACGGCTGTACGCCCTGTGCGAGGAGCTGGAGCGTCACGGTCTTGCCATGCCCAACTTGGGGAGCATCAACCAGCAGTCCATTGCCGGCGCCATTTCGACGGGAACCCACGGGAGCAGTGTGCGCCATGGCCTCATGTCTGAAGATGTGCAATCTCTACGAATCACACTGGCCAATGGGACAACGAAACTCTGCTCTGCCGAGTCGAATCCGGAGCTGTTTCGAGCCGCCCTCCTGTCTCTCGGCGCATTGGGCATCATCACCGAGGTCACGCTTCGCGCGGTCCCCGCCTTCAAGCTCAAGTGGACGCAGACCATCGACACCGACTACAAGCTGTTCAAGAGATGGCCGCTCGACCTGTGGACGCAGAGCGAGTTTGTCAGGGTGTGGTGGTTCCCCTACACGAGACGCGCCGTCGTGTGGCAGGCAGACAAAACCGCGGAACCCGAGCAGGACCCCCCGGCGAGCTACTACGACGGATCTCTGGGGTACTACGTCTACCACAACCTGCTCTACCTGGCGCAGTTTGCCCCCCGGATCCTCCCCTGGGTCGAGTGGTTCGTCTTCGGCATGCAGTACGGCTTCGCCAACGGGTCGGCCACGACGGCCGTCCAGCCGAGCCGAAGGGCGCTGCTGATGAACTGCCTCTACTCACAGTTTGTGAACGAGTGGGCGATCCCCCTGCACAGGGGGCCCGAGGCGCTGCGGCGACTCAGCTCCTGGCTGAACCGCCTCACGCCCGACGACCCGGACTACGTGGCGCACGGCATCCCCTTCTCGGCCGACGGGCTGTACGTGCACGCCCCGGTCGAGGTGCGGGTGAGCGACACGAGCCTCACCTCCAACCTCCGTCCGTACCTGGACCCGACTGTCCCCGACGGCCCGACGCTGTACCTCAACGCCACCTTGTATCGGCCGTACTGGCGGGACCCGCCGTGCCGCGACCGCTACTACCAGGCGTTTGAGTGGTTGATGAGGGACATGGGCGGCCGGCCGCACTGGGCCAAGAACTTTGAGACGTATCGGCCTGATATCGAGACCATGTATGGCGAGAGCTTGGCGGCGTTTCGGAGGATACGCGACGGCGTGGACCCGGAGGGCATGTTTGTCGGCCCGTGGCACAGAGAACGCATCATGGCACCTCTCCCAGGGTCCAAGCTTCCGCTGGAAGAGGTGGAGGTTTCAAGGAGGAAGGCTGCTGGCGGCGGTCTCGTGATGGAGGGGCTTGTTGGAGGGGGTTGATAGCATGGCCTTGGGTGCTCGGCTGAAGCTTTTTTTCTTCTTCTTTCATTTTTGCATGTGCAATTTTCATTGTAGCAGCGGGCGGGATGGGTCTTGCGACGAGCCGGACTGTATATATGCTGGGCATGAATGCAATCAACGCGGGACACGCATGCTTCAGAACACGGGAAGCTGTGGTTTGGTTATTTACAGTGTAGGCCTTTGGCCGGGCAGAAGGGAACTGAGAAATCAATGTACCCGTTCATCCATCGCCTGGTCATGTCTGAAACCGAGCCTCAATGATTGGCAGGAGATGATGCCGACTTTTCCGCCCGGCTACCATCCACGCTCAAAGTCGAGATCCATGACCCTCACCTCCTTCTCCCCCACGACGATCCATTTATCGCCGTCCCTCATCTCCTGGCCCCTCCCCATGGCATACCGCTTGTAGTACTCCTTGTCGCTGCAGTCGCGCAGCGCGCACACGCCATTCGCCCAATCCGCCGGCGGCAGCTCCTCGTCGTACATGTACACCACCATCTGCACCAGCTCGGGAAACATGTTCCGCACCAGGGCGCGGATCGACGTCCCCGCGCCCTGGTGGCACGTCCACCGCGCGCTGATGGCCAGCCGCCTCAGCCCCTGGCCCGCCGGGTCGCGGCGCCGAATGTCCAGCAGGAGCAGCGACAGGCGGTAGTAGTCCAGGTCGCCGAGCACGACGACGGTGTCGGCGGCCGGGTCGACGTACAGCACGCGGTGGGGGTGGGCGACGCTATCGCCGGCGCGGTCGCACGACGCCGCCGTCGCGAGGGGCAGCTTGATGCGGTAGTGCTGGAGGGCGGCGGCCCGCGACTCCGACGTGGCGGACAGGGCGGCCGGGTTGTTGCAGCCGCTTTGCCATTTCGGCGCGCTGCCGTGGTGTTTGAAGTCGTCGGCGTAGTGGGCTCGGCGGCCGTGCAACTCGACGACGCGCGGTGTGAAGGAGGCGTGCCAGATCTTGGACCGGAGCTCGCTGGGGAGGCGGGGGAACGGGTGGAAGTGGCCTGGGGTCGGTGGCCGCGGGTGTGTCTGGCCTGCTGGCTGCGGGCTGTCTGTGGCCATTGATGGATGGCCTCTGGGTTGGCGTCGAGGGGTGGCCGGGAGGCAGGATGGTGGGCGGTTGAAGAAACTGGCATTTATTACTTTGTGTTGGTGCGGCGGATATGCGTGAATGATGACATTGACTGGAGAGGAGGCAGGCCTTTGTCCTCCCAGTTATGGATAGCCGCATACTCGACGCTTTGCGGTCTGGTCCCGGCTACGATTGGTTCAATGGCATTTGCACCAATACGAGCATGCATCTCCACCTGAAGATGGTTGCAGGCTTGACAGTGCTCTTGACAGTGCATATATCACGATTTGGGACATTTATTAGTCTCCTTTAGGTCAAGGAAAAAATAGCAACTACGTCATTTCATAATGTTCGGCCTAGCTCAGCTTAGCTGCTCCAACTGCGAGACTTGCCAAGCTTACATAACTAAAATTTATACAGAGAAGTCTGGTCCACGTGAGTGCATAGTGAGCTGACCACCCTACAACACCTTGTCGCAGATGTGTACAAAAAACAACCACAACATGGGGATTAATTTCATCTTTACCATTATACTCTTTATTATATTTTTCATCAATCTGACAAATCGGCGCATCATGACCGGACGTCGCAGTCTCGTTTGGCTACGACCCCATGGACGAACTGCCCAAGGTCGTTGTGCGACTCACTGCGAAGTTGCAACCAGGTACAAGGACTGACGGCAACCGATTCTGTCGAGACTCCGGACACTGCCTCTCCACTCCGGCGCGGACTGGCCGCGGCCCCGAAGCCAAGACGGGAGCGGCAGCCGTCGGAACGGGGAAACGGCTTGGCGGCGGCAACCCCAAAACGGAAGCCAAAACGCCGAGATGCTCAATACCCATCTTGACATTGAAAAAAAAAAAAATTAAAAATTCACATGTGCACCAACGGCAGCGTCCGTCCCCACTGCATGGCCGCCCCAGTCCGACACCGCGCAAGTGGACCACGCAAACTTGACATTTCCACCCGACGCTTCCCCTTTGGCTCACAAGCATGAGCCGGCAAGAGTCGGGCTCGACGCGGCCATGGAAACGAAACATCTGGCGCCGAGCGCAAAGAAAAAGGTCATCTGCCCCGTAAAGCACTGCCCCGCAAGACTCACAAACTCGATGCTGTTAGTCTCGGAATCAACATGCGGCGGCCACGTGAATGACCATTGACCACCCTGAAGGCCCGAGAGCCGCCGTCACGATGCTTGGTGAAGCCGGGGTTTCCATCCGTGTATTGACGCGGGCTTGCGGAGAAGGCTCCTGTTTGCCCCGTCTGACGGCGGCTGACATCCCTGGGCCTGTCATTACTGCGACAAATATACGTGCTTGTCTGCGCTTTGGAAAATAAGGTATCATGACACCCTGTCTATTAGCCGCATTCAACCATGTATGTTTTCTAACCCCTGGCGAGCTTTTTTTTTCTCTCTTTACTGTCGCTCTGAGACCTATAGGTTTTCTCTCTCTTTCTCGTTTTACAAACGTTGCCAATCTAAAGACCTGGTAGTAGAAGGGGCGAACAAACAAACTGTTGGGTGTCAACCCGTTGGTATTCGGATCATGGCACATACCGACAACGACTTTGGCCCGAGTCTACCGGGCGTCTTTGACTTTACCATTCTCTTCGAGCAGAGCATTCTCTCCCTGCTGCCGGCATCCATCTTCATTCTTGTCGCGCCGCTGCGCACTTGGACCCTCGTACGCCGTGATACAATTGTGCGCTCGCGCAACTTATTCCTGGCAAAACAGGTGCGCACTGTTGAATCCCGCCAAGTCATCACTGACGTGAAAAGACGGTCTCCTACTAAACACGCTTTAGGCCACCATCGCCGTCTATTCTTGTCTGCAACTTGCCCTCGTCGCCCTGTGGTCGTTGCCATCCACGCCCAGGACAAAGACGTCCATCGCAGAAGCAGTCATTGGCGTCGTGGAAGCCGGTGCCATTTGCGCGCTGTCATGGGCAGAGCACTACAAGTCGGTCAGGCCGTCTGTCCTGCTGAACCTGTACCTCCTCCTCTCGACGCTCCTCGACACCGCCGCCGCAAGGACCTACCTCACGCGGCCGGGCCTTGCTGCCATTGGCAGCGTGTCTTTAGCCTCCCTCGCCGTCAAAGCCGCCCTGCTAACCCTCGAAGAATCGCCCAAGGACCCGGCGCGCAGGGACAAGACGACGGCCGACGAAGCGGCCGCGGGCGTCGTGAGCCGAGGCGTCTTTTGGTGGCTCAACCCTCTGCTCCTCGTCGGAGCAAAGACGCTGCTTGCCGCCGACCATGTCGGTCCCATCGAGGACAAGTTCGACTCGGCCAGGCTCCTGCGTCGGCTGGAGAGCGTCTGGGACAATGGTGTGTACCCCGGCCCCCCCCTTGCCAGTCTCTTCATCTCCCTGGGACGACTCACCCTGACTTAGATGGAACCAAAAGACGGTAAAACCGGCAGCTGGGCCCTTATGAAGTGTACGTTCCTGGCGTACAAGTGGCAGTTCCTGGCCGGCGTCCTCCCGCGGCTCCTCTTTACCGGCTTCACGTTCGCCCAGCCGTTTCTCATCAACGCCGTCGTCGACTTTGTCGGCGCGCCCGGGGAGCAGCAGACGGCCCAAGTCGCTGCGAGCCTTGTCGGCGCCACCGTCCTCGTGTACGTCGGCATTGCGGTGTGCAGCGCCGCATATCGCCACATGACGTACCAGCTTCTCACCATGTACCGGGGCGGCCTGGCCTCGTTGGTGTTTAAAAAGACGCTCAGGCTGGAAGCGTCTTCCGTCAGGGACTCGGCGCCGGTGACTTTGATGAGCACGGATATCGAGTCGATTGTCATGTCGGGCGATGCCATCCACGACATATGGGCGAGTTTCATCGAGATCCCCCTGGCGATATACCTGCTGTATAGGAACGTTGGCATCCCCAGCCTCTTTATCCTGATCCCTGCATTCTGTAAAGACTACCAGGCCCCCTCTGCCTCGACTGCTCTGTCACTGACCGTCTCGACTAGGTACCTCTGCTGCCGGTGCGCTGATTTCCCCGGCCATGGGCCCGGCCCGAGTGCAATGGAACAAGGCCATCCAGGAGCGCGTCGGCTCCGTCTCGACAATGTTGAGCCAGATCAAGGGCGTCAAGATGATGGGCCTGACGGTCCTTTTCCACGACTCGCTGCAGACTCTCCGGATTCACGAACTCAAGCTGGCCGTCAGATTTCGATGGATACTAGTCCAACTCAATTGTCTTGGTAAAAGATGCCCCTTCTGCCCATTTGTGATTCTTGATACCCGCACTCGAGGGCGCTGACCCCCCCTTTGCTAGCCATGGCATCCGAAGACCTCACGCCCGTCATTGTCATCGTCGCCGCCATTTTCTGGACCAAGGCGGACGAGGGGCTTACGGTGGCCGAGGCCTTCACCTCCCTGTCCATCATCAGCATCGCCGAGACACCCCTTGTCAATATCCTCATTTCCATCGTGCAGCTCTTTGGCGCCATTGGCTGCTTCTCCCGGCTCCAGGCATTCCTCGTCATGGACGAAAGAAGAGACTTGCGGGAAATGGCACCCTCGACCGCCTCCTCTACCCCGTCTACCGCGTGCCTCTCGTCCATCACGCTGCCCCCCGTGGACGATGCGTCCAAGGACGCGGATCCAGCGTCAAACATTGCGCTTGCAGCACTCGAGGCGCGAGCCCGCCCGTCTCTGGACCCTTCCATCCCGGCCGTGGCCATCGAAAGCGCCACCTTTACCGTCGGGGAGAATGTCAAAGTCCTCGCAGACATCAGCATGGTCTTCCCACGCGGAACCGTGTCCATGATTGTCGGCCGCGTAGGCTGCGGCAAGTCGTCCCTGCTCAAGGCCATTGCCGGCGAACTATCCCTGGCAAGGGGCCGGCTCGTCGCCGACGTGTCCTCCATGGCGTACTGCGACCAGACGCCGTGGCTGCAGAATTGCTCTATCCGGGACAACATCGCGGCCCAGTCCCCCCTCGACGAGGCGTGGCTGCACACCGTCATCGAAGCCTGCGCCCTGGACGAGGACATCTCCATGCTGCCCGCGCGGGACTTTACCATTGTCGGCTCCGGAGGCGTGGCATTGAGCGGTGGCCAGAAACAGCGGGTTGTAAGTCGGGCCAACATCCAAGCACAAGCAAGAGATTTTTGACGTTTTTGGAAAACCCAGGCCCTTGCGCGCGCGGTATACTCCCGGCGCAGTGTGCTCCTCCTCGACGACGTATTCAGCGGCCTGGACAGCACTACGTCCAGAGCCGTCTTCCAACGCGTCCTGGGCAGAGACGGCCTCGTTCGGCGGTGGAATGCGACCGTCATCATGGCCACGAACCACGGTGCGCTTGCGGTTGCCCGGTTACAAAATCTCTTGGACATGAGACTGACGCTTTGTGAAAAAAGTCAACTTCCTCCCTGCGGCTGACCACATTACCGTGCTCGGCGACAGGACCACTGTCCGGAACCAGGTGCGCTTCAACTCAGTCGATCCCTCGGAATGGGGCATCTTGGAGAGCGACACGGACAGCACCACGACCGTCTCCGGCCCGGACGGGGCCGGGCTCGAACCGGCCAAGGTCTCCCAGGAGGCGGCTGCCGATCCATCTCGAAAGACGGAAGCCGACCTGTGCCGGCAGACGGGCGACCTCGACTGCTACAGAATCTACGTGCGGTCCCTGGGCACAGTGGCCATGGTCATGCTGCTGGTTGGGAGCGTCTTGCACACCGCCATGGTCAAGATGCCGCGTGGGTTGCCCAGCACCCCGTTGTCATTTGGAATACACCAGAGAGTCAATAGCTAACCGTCACGCAGAGGTCTGGCTGAAGCTCTGGACGCAAAAGGGCACAGGGCCGACAGACTACGCCTACATGGCTGGCTACATTGGTTTTGCGCTCGCATCCACGACATTCGGCGCCCTCAACATGGGGTGATGCCTGCCGCGCTCCAATCTCCTCGTCTTGTCCTGCCGACTAACAAAGCCAAAGGTACTACTCGCTCGTCGGGGTTCCCAAGTCGGCCATCCGTCTTCACGACATGCTCCTCCGATGCGTCGTCCGGTACGCACGCCAAACCCCCCAAACTTCACCTCGAGCTAACGGGCACAAAAAAACAAGGGCGCCGTTACACTTCTTTGCCAGCACAGACAGCGGCATCACGCTCAACCGGTCCGTCGTCCTCCCCTTCACTCCACTTCGCACATGTGCTAAACTCCCGACTCCAGATTCAGCCAAGACATGACGCTCATCGACAACGCCCTCCCCATGGCCTTTCTCAACGTCACGACGCGTACGTACTGTCATCCTCTCCATAACCAAACCCCTAACCAATCAATGCCCCCAGTCTCCCTCCGCGCCCTCGCGGAAACCGGCCTCATCGCCTCCGGCGCATCCTCCGTCGCCGCCGCCATCCCCGTCTGCTTCCTGGCCCTGTACCTCATCCAGAAGTACTACCTCCGCACGTCGCGCCAGCTGCGCCTGCTCGACCTCGAGGCCAAGTCCCCGCTCTACACGCAATTCGCCGAAACCCTCGCGGGCTTGCCGACCATCCGCGCCTTCGGCTGGGCGCCCGCCTTCCGCGCCGACAACCACCGGCGCCTCGACGCCTCCCAACGGCCCTTTTACACCATGTTCTGCGTCCAGCGCTGGCTCCAGGTCGTCCTGGACCTGTTTGTCGCTGGCGTCGCGCTGGTCCTCGTCGCCCTGGCGCTCCGGGCGGGCGGCAGCAGCAGCAGCAGCGCCGCCGTCGGCCTCGCCATGGTCAACCTCATCGGCTTCAACCAGACGCTGGCCGAGGCCGTCGACCAGTGGACCCGTCTGGAGACGTCGCTCGGCGCCGTCGCCCGCCTCAAGTGGTTCGCCGGCAACACCCCCGACGAGGACGGGCCGGCACGTCATCATCGCAAACACGCGTCCCTGCCCCCCGCGTGGCCGGACCGGGGGGCCATTGCGCTGAGGAACCTCGTCGCCGCGTACAGGCACGTATTGGGCCCCTTATCTAGAACCTCGGCCGAGAAAAACTAACTCCCGCCAGTGACGAGTCCGAGCCCGTCCTAAAGGGGGTGTCGCTGACCATTCAGCCCGGTCAGAAAGTCGGCGTGTGCGGGCGCTCCGGGAGGTAGGTGGCCCTTTAAAAAAAATTCACTAGAGAAATCCCATTCTGACAGACATCATCCCGCAGCGGCAAGTCGTCGCTCGTGCTAGCCCTCGCGCGACTGCTCGACATTCGCGGGGGCAGCATCACCATTGACGCGCAGGACCTGGCCCTTCTCCCGCGGGAGACGGTGCGCCGGCGGCTCACGGCCCTGCCCCAGGACGGCGTGCGGCTGCGCGGCACGGCGCGGCGCAACCTCGACCCCTTCGGGAGATACGCCGGCGCCGACGCCGACGCCCCGCTCGAGCAGGCCCTCCGCAAGACGGGCGTCTGGGCGGCCGTCGCGCGCCGCGGCGGGCTCGACGCCGACATGGCCGCGCTGGGCCTGTCGGCGGGGCAGGCGCAGCTGTTCTTCCTCGCGAGGGCGCTGCTGCTGCTGGGCGGCGGCGGCGGCGCCCTCGTGCTTCTCGACGAGGCCACGAGCTGCGTCGACGCGCAGACCGACGACGCCGTGCGCGCCGCCATCCGGGACGACCTGCGCGGCAGGACCGTCGTCGAGGCCGCCCACCGGCTCCGTCGAGGTCGCCCACCGGCTCGACGTCCTGCGGGCCTGCGACGTCGTCGTCGTCATGGCCACGGGGCAAGTCGTCGAGGTCGGCGAGCCCGAGGCCCTCCTGGCCAAGGGGGCGAGCGCCTTCAAGGCCCTGTGGGACAGTCGCCGTCTTTAGATGAATCAATCCCCCCCGGTGGGCGGTCGGCAACATGACCAGAGGCACGAAAACGCAAAATAACACACGAGGTCGTAATCATATTCATTAATCCCTACATCTACAAGCAATCCAACCCCAACCCCCAACTCCCACACTCCGGCCAGTACCAGCAAGTCCCTTCTCCAATATAAAGCAAAACATCTATGGGGTGTCTTTAACATGCTCAGACGGACCGCGCCCAAGACGGAGGAAAAAATAAAAATGTCTTGTTTGGAGTCGAGAGAAGCGAATAAGAAACAAGTAGGAAAGAGCAAGTAAGAGGTATCGATAAATCCAGAGTTTATACTGCCTCCTGGTCCATGGGGTTGGGTATCCACTCCAAGACTTTTTTTTTCATCCGACAACACCAAGCGTACCGACTTTGGTGGCTCCTTGTTCTTGAAAATTTAATCCTCTATTGCCGTAGTTGTAAATCGTCTAAAGGCCAAGTTGTTGTTGCGCGCCAACAGCCGAGGCCAGCGTGGGCATCCGGTTTCAGTGGCCCCGGCTTTGACTCGCGCTCGTGCGACTGCGCTCATCCTCCTCCTCAATCACGTCGCTCAGCCGTGTAGGATGGTGATGCCGCGGAACAGTCTCCCAGCCAGGTGCACCATATCCCTGCCCAGAGTAGTCCTGGGGATCCGAATAAGCACCGGTCCAAGTACCCTCGCCCTCGGGCGCTGATGCAGGCTCGTGGGCACCACTGGGCGGGTTCGTTGTTGCTGGCGTATCGTAATCGTCTGCCTCCGGATCAGAAACCGAAGCTCCAGAGGGCGGTGCGGCAACAAAGGGGATTTTCTGCCCTCGAGAGTCGAGAACAAAGTTGCCTGCAGCGTCAATAATGTACTCACCTTCGCTGAATGCGCCCTCTGAGCCGCCGGATCTGCCTCGGGCGTGCGACTGCCCCTGCTCGTGGGGTCTGTAATAGGTGCCGCTGGGGCCCGCAGTCGTCGGTGATGTTGCCGAAGGCGCCTGTGAGTGCTCGGGGCCGTAGCTTTGCGGGTACTCGGCTTGATACGCCTCTGGCTCCCTCCTGGTGGTGCCCTGCCGGCTGACGCCGCCATGCGTCATAGGAACAACTTGTACGCCGCCAACAACGGTAGGGTGGCCCGACTGTAATGATAAAGTTCTGTCTCGCTCCTCTTGCTCTCTCCGTCCGAGTTCCTCCCAAGCTCTGCGCGCTTCTTCCTTGGAAATCTGCAGCTCCTTTCGCATCTCAGCAAGCTGTTTCTCGGCCTTGGACGTGTCTCGTTCATGGACGATGGCATCTCGAATGGCATTCGCGCGGTCTCGTCGTTCTCTTTCCAGCGCCTTTTCGAGCATGCCATTGACCTCCTGCGCTCGTTCCAGCTCGGCTCTGGTCTCAAAGAACCAACGCTGGAACTTTCTCTCTGAGCTGGCGCGTAGCCGTTGTAGTTCGACCACCGCATGAAACAAGTTGGCACCAGCGGCTGACAAGTCAGTAACTTGCCGCGCGAGTTGTTGGCTTAAGGGGTCGCGGTTGATGTCGTCCTTGTTCTGCTCTAGTTTCCTAATCCAGTAGCTTGTCAGGCCCTCCCAATGAGCAGATAGCGTTTCCCACCGCTCAAAGGCATGGGGGAACGAATTCCTAGGCTTCGCAGGCTCCGTGGGTTGAGTCGTGGGTTCCGCCGGGGCAATGGTCTGCTGTTGGGGCCGCGGCCGGCCACTAGATGTGACATATGTAGGTGATCTGGTAGGTTGCTGGGTGGTGTTGGGTGCAAATTGTGCAGGTATTTGCTGCTCTGCTGATGTTTTAGCCGTAGGTACTGCGGCTGGGACTCTAGGAGCATGTGTGGCTTCTTGGGCAGCTTGGCCACGACCACGGGGTGGTGAGTGTTGCTGCTGCTGCAGGTGTTGCGGCTCTGTGCCGCTGAGTTGCCCGGCAGCAACGCCAGCAGATGGACGTTCGGCATTCCTTCGTCGTGTTTCATCCAGCAAACGTGCTTCCTGTTCGGCTCTGCTTCGTTCTAGAGCCAGCTGTTCAGCTTCTGCCCTCTGTCTCGCTTCTCTGGCAGCCCGTTCTTGCATAATCATCCTCGGCCCTCGAATTCCAGACGGCGAACTGGTCGGCGCAGGCCCAGCCGTGGGACGGCGGGTAGATGCCGCACCATTGCCACTGGATGTAGCAGGAAGTCCGCTGGTGGCAGCCACCAGGTCCGCCATATCAGCGGATTCCTCGACGACGTCGGGCGTAAAGGGGTTTGGGTACCGAAGAGCCTCTTCAAGAGCAAAAAGAATAGCACTATGGGTGTTCCTAGAAACTCTGACAACGGGGTGCGGCTCGCGCCGATCCCGGCCGGGGGGAGAGTGAGACCCGGAGTGGTGCTGAGAGTGAGGTCGATCCGAGGAAATGTCCTTGTCAAGGATCTCTTTTAGATCTTGGGAATTGTTCCGGTGCAGACGGGCTCGGTCCTCGAACAGAGAAGAGCTGAGGCCAGTGACAGATGAGTCTGGCCGCGTCCTGGCAAAGGGGACGCGACTCGGAGAAAAGCCAGTTGAGGCTGCGGCAATATGGACTTGACGCGGCTCTGTACTGGCCGGACTCGGCGAGGGAGCGGACTCAAACCTGGGGGTCCGGCGAAGAGATCGTTGGACCGAGGAAGCTGGCGTGGAGAGTCTCGAGACGGGATCTGGGTCCTGATGATGGAATGTCTGCTGGGTGGGCACCAAAGTCGAGTGCTGCTGGCGTTGCTTAGGGTATGATGTAGGCTCGTGGTCGCGGGTCTCGTGAGGGTCGTGGAAGAGAGACTCGGGTGGCTGGGGAAAGACTCCTGAGGCCGTTGGGGCTGGGTGTGAAGGAGACAAGGCGGCGAGCTCACCACCAAGTCGCGGCGGCAGCGAGACGTTGGCCGTTGGACGTTAGATTCGCCTGGGTCCTTGGGTTGACGGAATTGGGGATCGAAGATTGGGCAAGATGAGCGCGAGGAGCAGGGCACAGCGACGCACAGCGCAGAGGTCTGGCTTGGGACCAGAATGTGTCGACTCTGCCGTGTGACGTCGGAGAGCTTTCAAACGTCGAGGGGGCCCAGGCAAAGATAAAAAAAGAACTGGCTGGAATGCAAGCTAGGGATGAAAAGAGTCAGGACGAGACAGTCATGGGTGGAAGAGTGCCGGCACCCAATAGAGAGAGGAAGGGCATTGAAGGACAGAGATGGAGGCGCACAAGGTGACCCCGAAGTGAGGTGATGTCAAAATGTGGTGGCAGGAAAAAAAAAGGCGGCGATCGGATTGGAAGTTGGAGTTGAAGGCCTGCTGGTTCTGTCTGGTCGAATGTCAACGGCGGCGGCGGCGAGGTGACAAGCAGGCAGTCAATGCTACCAGACCAGACCAGACATGGAACTGGAGCTGAGGCTGGTCGGGGCCGACGGGGGTAGGTACCTTAGCAGGCACTCCTTACTGGGCAGGTGGGCAGGTGGATCCGGGTTCAAGGCTCAACTTGCACCAACATGCAACGTCCAAACTCCAAAAACGGGGGGCTGGAAGTTCAACGTCAAGGCGCAGCCCTGTGCAGCTCGCGGTGAGCAGATGCGCGTCACGCAATTGGGGACGCCCAAGGCCTCGCAAGACGGTCGCAATCCCCGGCACTCGTTCAATGCTGCGCCAATGTTGGGACTTGGGAGTCTGTCTGGCAGCGAGGATATCCGTTCAATGTGCCGCCGTACGTTGTGCGCCCAAGTCTGGTACTTGCCTGGGTCCGGGAGGTACCTCGGTACGTCGTACGTCCTCAACAAGTCGCCGCCCGACAGGGACCAGTTGGCAAGGTCCTGGTCCGTTTCACTCGAGCTGCTGGCCTCGCCTCGACGCTCCACGCCAACGCCTGCGAGCAATTCAATGGGCAATGTAATGTCTTGCCAGAAAGTCGCAGTCGCCGTCAACAGGTCGCGCAACCAGCTATGGCCGGAACAATGGGAATGAGGCGCTGCGACGGGCGGCACCCGGTCGTCCCCGGACTGTCTACCACGTGCGAGGTACCCAGAGATGCGCGGCATGTACCAGACATGTCCTGTCCGGTACAACACAATCTGGGGTCAGGCGGCGCAAAAACGGTCAACTAGTCTGGTAAGTAGCTGGCAGAACAAGGAAAGAGCACTTGAGGACAAGACATGCTCCGAAACAGCTACATGTACGCAAAAGAAGCACGTTGACATGGTTTTTTACAACGTCGGCAAACTGAGTGTCTTTATTGCCTACCAAGGACTCCGTAGGAGGTCAACCCTTACGGCACCAATCCATCATCTCCCTGCCCTCTGTTTTTGCCTCACGCTAGCCTGCAGCCAACTACGAGTCTACAACCGTCTGGCGCCAACATCGTGCATGGTTCTGGTGGCAATCAGCTTGATGAGTTGTTCAGGTTAATGCCGCTCGCCACCTTAGTTCCGGGCGGCACCAGTAGTCTCTTCCGTCGGAGGGCTTGAGTCTTGACCACCATCCTCTTTTGCCTCAAGTGAGTATCTGGGGGCGCCAACCAACACCCAACCCCCGCAGGGTTTTTCACGCCCTTCGGACGTTTTTGCATCCGTTGCGTCTGGATCGGGGTCAGGGCTCACATGAGTTGCGCTAAGGGAAGAAGAAATGAGAGCGGCCTCGTGGTCATGCGTGCGTGTGTGTGCGCGTGTTGCTCTCGTGGATTGGAGTTGCATGAGGACGCATGGATCCCTGGCCTCAATTGTGTCTTGCTGCAAACCAACAACTTGCCTCCCAGATGGAGACTGCAAGTCAGTCAACCAAGACGGTAGGAAACAAAGGGAAACTCTCGCAAGCGTCGGGGTGGTTGAAAGTTTGCCCCTCAATTGCTACGTCTAATGCAGAATGGACTTTGATTCTATTGGCAATATTCCCCCGAGAGAAGCCTGTCTGAATCTATCAAGCAACGCCCACAGTTGAGACTTGAAAAAGAGAAACCCAGGGGCAAAGTCACTGCCTTTTCCTCTATCCAGCAAGTACAGCATGGCGAGTCTGGCATCCGTATCTCAATAACCAAAACCCACCGTAGAAAGGTTTTATTCAACTTGTTCAACCCGATTATTAGCCCCCAAACCAGCATCACCGCCTCACCCTCAACTTGGGGACGCTCAACTGCGTTGCCGCCCCGCCAGAAAGCGACATGTTCCAAGCCGAGTGCAACCCATTGTCTCCATCGGAACGCCTCTGGCCTCCCAAGCCGGCCAATCTTCTTCTCCACATTGGCCATTTCTGTCGACGCAGTCTCAACCTTGGTCATGTCTGCCTCGAGGACAAGGACCGTCTCGCAATGCGTTCACGGCACTGCGTACCTTGCAGCAAACCCAGCCACACTGCCCCGGCCAAGATGCGACAATCTCCCACGGAACAAGTGAGAATCCCATCCACTTCCAGATATCAATTCCCCTTTTCGGCAGATCATGGGCGCGCGGGTAACTATGGACGGCTCGGCCCTCTCAAGATCAAGTGATTGTGCCGTTTGCGCGGGCCAATCATGTCGCGCCCAAGACATTCTGCGAAATAAGCTCTCGGCACTGGGACATGTTGGCTTGAGGATATGGGGATTTATCATTTGACAGCCGGACGGTTTATACTCGATGTACGGTGAGCAAGTGATTACTAGTCAAATAATTTCATCGTTAATTTTTTTTTTCACATTACTTCTATAGAAACCCAGAGGCATAAAGATAATCATCGTTGTACAAAATTTGAACCATATAGCAAACTTGTACTCCGTAGCATACATACAATCTCTTCTAGTCGCATTCAAGCACCGACGTCAGCCCGAGTATACGCATACATAAAACAGCCATATTCTTGCAGACTTTTAAAAAAAATACATATGTAATTAACATGCCCATTCCGTTACTTCCGTCCCCCCTCTAAGCAGTATCCAAAACAATAACCTCTGCCTCCTCCTCCCCAATGCTCTCCACGACCAACTTGTCGCCGGCAAAGACGCCCTCCACAAACGCGCCGTCGCCCTCGTCCAGCTCGGCGTCCTCCCGCCCATCCAGGCGGATCTTGGCCTTGCCCCCCTTCAGCATGGGCAGGTGCACAAACACCTTCCTCCCGTTCTGCTCGGTGGCATCCGCCCCGACGACCCATTCAAACGCCCTGCCGGGCGCGGCGATGCCCGCGCCCATGGCGAAGTCGGCGTGGATGGGAATGCTGCCCTCGACGACGGGCTCGGCGTCCTTCTCCTGCTGGGCCGTGGCGTCCTTCCCGCCCTTCAGCGGGCTCAGGATCTTGACGAAGCCCCTGCGCTTGGCCTCGTCGTCAAAGTGGCGCGTGTGGTAGCGCGGCGCGAGCCCCTTCTTCCAGGGCAGCGCCCAGATCTGCAGGAAGTGCACCGTGTCGCGCTTGTGCTCGTTGAACTCGGAGTGGGCGATGCCCGTGCCGCCCGTGGTGAACTGCACGTCGCCGCGGTGCATGCGGTAGAACTTGTCCGACTGGCCGCCCTCGCTGCCCTTGGCGAGCATGGAGTCGCGGTGCGTCAGCTCCCCGGACAGGATGTAGCTGAAGATCTCAAAGTCGCGGTGCGGGTGCGTGGGGAAGCCCGAGTCGGCCTTGACGCGGTCCTCGTTGAGCACGCGGAGGGACCCAAAGTGCGTGAAGTTGGGGTTGTACCAGTCGGCAAAGGAGAAGCTGTGGTACGTGTTGAGCCAGCCGTGGTCGCTGTGGCCGCGGGTGCCGGACCGGTGCGGCGTGATCTTGGCGTTGCGGAGGACCGACTTGGACATGTTGGCGGCCGACTTGAGCATGGGCTGGTCGCTTGGTTTGCTGAAAATGCTGAGGTCGATGGCCCTTGACAGGGTTTGTGACAGTGTGTAGTTGAAGCTGGGTGCGATGCTGATGATGAGGATGGAAATGGAAGCGATGACAATGGCAACAGCCGTTGCGAGGCGAGACATATATACTTGGTCGGGCAGGGCGTGTGGAAGTGAGGAGAAGGTTCGCGGGGAAAAGATGGCTTCTTCTTTGGCAATTTACAACGTTTGCATAATGGTACATTCATATATAATGGTCTCAAAGTTTATATGCGCCATGTGCAGTTACCGTACTGTTTGCTATTAGCAAACGATTCTTAAGCCCAACGTAATCGGCGCCGTTCCCAAATAGGACTACGGTGGGTGTGATTGGCCAATTGCGGTTCCGGCTTTGACGGATTACGGGATGATGACTTGAGAATCTCTGGAGCTTGGGGAATGCTTTCACTACAGCCCATATTACCTAATCTTTCTCAAGCACAAGCTCCCGGTTGCAAATGCTTCCTTGCGCCCACGTGATGAAGCGGGCGTGCAGAGGTGCGGCAGCGTTGTCGGACGATGGTGTGATGCGCTGGCATGTGGCTTGCCTGCATGGCCTGCGCTGGAGCTACGTATTGCTGGGCGTTGCTTGTAGGGAAGGCGTCTGGGTTGATCAAGTCAATCGGCGTGGGTTCTTGATGCCCAAACTCCGTCTGCAGAATCATCAATACGCCTTACAACAGGATTCAATGTGGTGAACTGATCAAAGATGGGGGAGACGCAATGATGGCCTTGAGATGCATTTGCAGTTTGTGGGGCCAAAGGCCGAGAAAGATGCCAAAGAATACTCCGTAAACGCGGGCTATTGAGAGCCGTGGGTGAAGGAATACATGGTGCCTACTTTATCAAGCATAGCCCCAACAATGAATTTATGTTTCTACTCTCGCGCCATCTCGACTTTTTATTTCGGCCAAGTCGGGTGCTCTGTGACGTCGGACGAAGCCTGACCCGCATGTATCGTGTGCCACGTATCCGGTGCAGCTGCAGCCTGAACTTGCCAGGTAAACAGCAGCACCGTAGAATAACAAGTTCCAAATGTTCGCACCAGAAGGGTCAAGAATAGAACAGGCGCAATAACATGTGGCCTGCCATCTGCATCTGCTTTACCTCCGGGACGTCGCGAGACTGAAGCACCTCCACCAAACCCAATCAATAAATTCATTTACTATATCAACTACATCCTGTCGAGGATGGAGCCGGTGTGGTACAACTGTTGATATGTCGCTGTACCAGGTACCGCGGCCGAATTCCGTACCAATACTCGCATTTGTCTTCCTGGTAATCCAGCTAAGCCTGGAAGTGCGCCAAGCTTCTTGTTTGGCCGGCCAGAACCAAGATACATGATTTTTTTTTTTTTCTTTTTTTGAAAAAGAAAGAAAGAAAAAAAAGGAAATCTTCGCCCTGCAACGGGTAGCTAGGTACGGAGTAGGTAATTATGATCAATCGTCGTTGAAGATGGGCGAGCACCATTGTTTCATACTTGACGTGTCAAGTCGTTATGAGGTCTGTGCTGGGCGCTCGAAGAGACCCTTGGCGCAAGTTGGTAGTGCGTGGCGGGAAGGTGCTATCGGCGCTGGTGAAGGATTGGCTCCAAGTGCAGTCGCCAGAATCTTGACCAGCCCCCAATCATGGCCATGGCAAAACTCCGTGTTCGGTAGAGAACAATACACTGAGCGCATTGACTCCTGTCCAACCTCACACATCGAAAGGCTGCCTCGGCGTACGAAGCACAGAATATGGAACTCTGCAAAGTAGACGATGCACAAACACGCAGTACATTGTCATGTCCTTTTTAAGCTGCATGTGGTCCAGATTGGCCTGACGGCCCAGAGGTCAACTGCCTGTCCCAACCTCCCGGTGAAAACGAGACCGGACATCTGGAGGAGCTGGGAGCCGGGGTCGGAGTCCATGGTCATACAGCAGTCTCATTGCCCGGGTGTTCCTTCCTCGGATGACATTTTAAGCGCCGTCGCACACACACACATTTCCACACTTTTGGAAAAAATTGCATTCGGCTCCCTATCCCCAACTCTCCCCCCTTCACGACGTCCCTTCGCGGCGGAACTTGGACAATTTGTTGTCTGAAGCCTCAGGTAAGCCGTTGGTCTCTTTCTCAGCCCTCTATTGTCTCTCCAACAGGCGGAGTCATCCGCCTGCTACTCTGGTCCGCTCTGCCGCTGAGGGCTCAGAGCCCGCCCAAAACCCACTCCGGACGTGGG